ATTTATTCACATAAAAATATATATTTGTTTAGCATGGTGGAATCTGGAAGCAACTATGATCTGCGGTCCCGGTGTGCTATCCCAAGCCATTTTACCCAACAAGCACTAAAGCCTTTCAAGGAAAATTATCTCAGTCTATGGGTAGGACTCCTAAACATCAATCCGATGTTATGGCAGGGAAGGTTGAGGGAGGTTTTTGCGCACTTAGTGCCTTTCTGCGTTCCTCTATTTAAGAATGTGGCTAAACTGAGTGTCAGTGGGTGGACAGAGACTATATACACCCAACACCCACCCCCCCAAACCACCCGCCATTCACACGACAGGGAAAGGTTAGGGTTCAGTCCAAGCCCATACAAGCTCAATAGAAACACAGCACCAATCTGAATACAGTGAGGGTTATTTTGTGCGAGGCAACTCACGTGGGCGAGATTAGACATTGTCTTGCAAATTTATCAGAGAAATTGCGTTTAAATGAACGAGTTAGTTTCCAATCTCTTCTCGCTTCACTGTTATCTCCCTCTCTCTCTCTGTGCCTGTTTATAACCAGAGCACATTGATACTTAAAAGCAGTTTTGCTTTTAATGACAAGGTACAAATCTCGAACGTGCCAAGCGATGACAAAGGCTGCTTCAAGCAGTTTGTTCCTTTGCGATCGTGCACATAGCGAGCGCTGGGACTCGCGACAACAACAACAACAGATTACATTTGATCGGTGTGCAGAGGAGGAAACAGCTGCTTCAGGGTAGAAACACCAATGGGCCGGTGTTTTGGTGGGACGGTGGAGACGATGTCCTCACGGCCTGAGGACGTCGCAAGGCACATCAAAAGCTGTTGGAGAGCGTCATATGTAACCTGATTAAAAAAAAATAACGCCTAGCGTTGGCCTTCACTTCAAATGTGTCCAAAGACTTCCCTTATATTCCTGACAGTCACTGAAGTGTGGACAAGTTGATGCATACAGAGCTGACTACACAAGGTCAGGTCAAATAATCGAGGTGAATACTCTGTTCCACCCCCAGGCCCCACACTCCCTTCCCCCCGCTCCTCAGTGGCATAGAAACAGTTGCTAAACTATCTCAGTCAATGGTCTGTTCCTCCCAAGTCCCATTAACGAGCAGCTTGGCTTGACTTGGGGGAACCGAGGACCGACCTGACTTAAGAACTGAACTACTGAGACCGTCACAAAACAAATCACTTGATTCCGATCTTCCATTTGTCAGGTGTGGCATCTTAGAATGCACCTCAGCATCAAAGAGAACCCTGCTTTACGTCCTCCCCTGCCATCGCCCAGAAGCATAGCCACTCATGTGTCATTCTCTATTGGGCAATGAGCCTTTGTTAGGGAACTGGGAGGTACCAGGAACTCTTTGTGAGGCACAACTCCGGATAAAATGTGTGAGGACATTGCTTGCACCATCTCGCCAAACACCTGCCCTTCTGCACACAAACCAAGGTAGGTACAAAGCCCCGTATATATGAGCGTATGTTCACGAACGCAGACTCCAGGTTCTCAGAGCAGTGTAGACTGTTGTTACACTTTCACTTTCAGTGTGTACTGGGCTGGACTGTGCAAGTCAACCTTCCAGCTTCTGATTCCTCGCAGCTGTGAAGTCGAAACCTCAACCAATTTGCCTTGTGTGCTCTTCCTACCTGTTCCCCGGAGCTTTCCTTTGATGCCCCCAAACCATCCCCGATGGTTGACCAAAAATATGAGTCAATTTCATGATAAATAGGAGGCACCGAGTGACATCCTCTGAAATTTGCCAAAAAAAAGTGATGAGTGCTTGTAGCTATGGTGATTGAGAGCTCTTTCCCCACCAACTGTGTTGAGCAACTGAGGAACATGTCACAACCGGCAGAGAGGTCACTGGCTTCCTTCCCGTCTACAGTATTTCGGGGTGGAGTCCAGCTCTGATCCTGGAGTGAAAGCCGGGTTAGAGTAACCTTTCGTGGACCTGGCACCCAGATGATTGGTGAGCAAACCCCTCGTTTTCATGTGCCCCTGTTTATAAGTAACGTGCCCAGTGGTGGGCTGCCTCCCCACCCCCTCACCCCAGGGAATGTGAGCGGGGTGGCAAACGCGGGGGGCGTTGGGGAAATTTCCCAAGCAGCCATAAGGCGCCGAATGAGCTTCTTCCCCGAGACTGGGTGAAAGGATAATTCTGTCCCCCAGTAGACACAGAGAGAGAGAGAGAGAGTTTGACTGGAACTGAAACCCACGTGCCGAAAGTGAAACAGTCGAGCAGAAACTCTGAAACCGTTTCCCGTCTGCCTGTTCGGGTGGATGTTAAAGATCCCACGGCGCTATTCGTAAAGAGCGAGGAGTTTCTCTCTCATGCTGTGTCTCAGCGAACAATTCCCCCCCCAAATAAAATTGGCCACTCTCGCTTTGTGGCTGTTTGCAGGACAAGGCCGCGTTTCGCTCGCAAAATACACAATCAATCCACTTTACAGTATAGTCCCGTAGGGTGTCGGTTACAGCACTCGACTCGCAAGTGAGAGGACCTGGGTTTGATTCCCGGGCGGAGCAAAATCTTAAGACAAGTTCCATTAGTCCACACGCCTGTGTTTACTGAACGGTAAGTAGGAACCCAGTTGTTGGTCGATTGGCGCCTGGCTTTCTGGTGTAATAATCCCTCCGAAACAAAATAATAATTTGGTTACCCCATCCACGGCTGATCGTGGGACACTGCTGCGCGCAATGGGATGTCGCATCAAGCTCAGAAAAACGCACAGTCAAAACACTCGGAGTGTTTCCTGGGAAGCGCTTTGAGACGTCTCAACGTTATCTGTCATCCAATGCAAGGATTAGCGTCGTCGTCATCATGATCATCACCGAGACGTTCCAAGAGGTTCTTTTTTTACTGGTGTTGAGATGAAGGCTGTCTGTGTGTGTGTGGAGGGAGGAGATGGTGGGTGGGGGTGGGGGTGGGTGGGGGGGGTGGAGGTTGGGGAGTTAATGATCCTGAGTGGAGACGTGTTATGCTCCAGGGATCTGTGTGCTTTTGTCTCTGAGCCATTCCTCCCACTGAGATTAGTAACATTGCTCTTTATCAATGCGTATCCAACTCGTTGGATCCAACAAGTCACACAGTGCAAACACAAACACACCAGAGCAACGCTGGACACTGTCCAACCTCCAGTCACACAACCAAAGAAGGCTTTAACATGGGAGGTTTTCCTTTCTTAACACACAGACCAACCAACTGATGTCCTGTTACATGTCCTTCTCCAGAGCCTGGGAAATTGAACAGTAGTCACTTTGCTGAGGAGTGGGGAGTGGGGGTGGGGGGGTGGGGTTGGGTGGGGGAGTGTTTGGGGGTGGGGGAGTGTTTGGGGGGTGGGGAGTGTTTGGGGGGTGGGGGTGGTGTTGGAAATAAACATCTCCAAAGCAGAGGAGGGGAAATAAACTGTGAGGGTTGAGAGGTCGGTTCTCTAAGCAATTGGTAGATTTTGAATCACCCCTTTGTGTCCCACCCACCCCACAGCACCCACCCACCCCCACAGCACCCACCCACCCACCCCCACAGCACCCACCCACCCACCCCCACAGCACCCACCCACCCACAGCACCCACCCACCCCCACAGCACCCACCCACCCACCCCCACAGCACCACCCACCCACCCCACAGCACCCACCCACCAGCACCCACCCACACCCACAGCACCCCACCCACAGCACCCACCCACACCCACAGCACCCACCCACACCCACAGCACCCACCCACACCCACAGCACCCACCCAGCCACAGCACCCACCCACCCCCACAGCACCCACCCACAGCACCCACCCTCACAGCACCCACCCACCCACAGCACCTGCTGACAGTCTAACATGGAACAAGGATTGACCAGTGCTGCTTTCATCCCCCCCCCACAACCCCACAACCCCACAAGAGGCTGATAACGTGTGAATTCATTACCAGTTCAAATCCAGCAAACCACACAACAAAAACACACACACACACACACACACCCTCATGAGAGGGGGGAGTGTTCAGTGCAGAATTTGCTGCCTGTCCTATTGCCACCCATTTGGAGTTCATGTTCACTGTCAGCTGCAAATGTGAAGCCTTTTCCTCTCTCTCTCTCTCTCTCTCTGTGCATTTCTCTCTCTCTCTCTCTCTCTCTGGTTCTCATCAATTACTCCCTGTAGATCTGCCCACACACAGACCTGGGACCCATCCTCAGGTGATGGTGAAACGTTGCCAAATGCCCCCTTTTGCCAAACAACTGGATCTCCCACCCACCCACAGACAGGACAGAGACAAGGCAGACAGAGACAAGGCAGACACAGACAAGAGACACAGCAAAGGGCAGTACTACAAATCCCAACATGCAGTGGCATTTGCAGAAGCTTTTTTTTTCCATGAACACAAGAGGTCCACCCAATAAGAAAGTGAGGAGGTGTTGCCTTTATCAGGAACCGGTGCTATGTGTAATGTGTGTGTGTGTGAAGGACAGACAGAGAAGAGCGAGAGAGAGGAGAGAGAGGAGAGAGATGCAGTGAAGAAGAAGAAGAAGAAGAAGAAGAAGGAGGAGGAGAGAGGCATCTGATGGAGAGGAGAGAGGTTGGGAGGCATCATCACAACAGCAGCAGCAGCAGCATCAGCATCCCCTTGGTTTCTCTGCAGTGTCTGGGTGCTAAACTCACTGAGGCTCACAGCTTCTCCCAGGCAGGACATTAGCTTCCATGAGATTCTTCAGGCTCACCTTCAAGTGCTTCGTGGATTGCTTTTGAAAGCATTTTTCCCCCCTCTTCCTTGCTCCCCTCCAGTCGATTTGCGTTGAATCGTTTTGTTTCTGTGCCTCTCTCCCCCCCATCCCCATCCCCATCCCCTCCCCATCCATCCATCCCCTCCCCATCCATCCATCCCCTCTCCATCCATCCCTCCCCATCCATCCATCCCATCCCCTCCCCATCCATCCCCTCCCCATCCATCCATCCCCATCCCCTCCCCATCCATCCATCCCCATCCCCTCCCCTCTCCATCCATCCCCTCTCCATCCATCCCCTCCCCATCCATCCCCTCCCCATCCAAAGCAAAAAGGTGCAACAAAAACCCAACAGCAGAGCCCCAAAACAGCCCCATATCGCGAATCATGTTGGCAGCACCAGAAGAGCTTGTTGGTGCAGGTGGGTTTGAATCCGGTTTTAATTCAGGATTATAGAGTGTGTGCAATGTGTGTGTGTGTGTGTGTTTTTTTTTCCTCCTTCTCCTGCATTATTCAGACAGATCCGACCCAAACCACAGATTGATGGGCTTTGAGTATCCCTGGAAATGATGGCTTTTAAATAGGGGGGAGAGAGAGAGAGAGAGAGAGAGGGGGGGAGGGGGGAGAGAGAGAGAGAGAGAGAGAGGGGGGGGGAATGGAGGGGGGAGAGAGAGAGAGAGGGGGGGGGTGGAGGGGGGAGAGAGAGAGAGAGAGAGGGGGGGGGGATGGAGGGGGGAGAGAGAGAGAGAGAGAGGGGGGATGGAGGGGGAGAGAGAGAGAGAGAGAGAGAGAGGGGGGGGATGGAGGGGAGAGAGAGGGAGAGGGGGGGATGGAGGGGGAGAGAGAGAGAGAGAGAGAGAGGGGGGGATGGAGGGGGTAGAGAGAGAGAGAGAGGGGGGGGGTGGAGGGGGGAGAGAGAGAGAGAGAGAGGGGGTATGGAGGGGAGAGAGAGAGAGAGAGAGAGATGGAGGGGGGAGAGAGAGAGAGAGAGAGGGGGGGGATGGAGGGGGGAGAGAGAGAGAGAGAGGGGGGGGATGGAGGGGGAGAGAGAGAGAGAGAGGGGGGGGGATGGAGGGGAGAGAGAGAGAGGGGGGGGGAGAGAAAGAGAGAGAGATGGTTGCAATGTTTTCCTGGTGGTTGATTTGACTGCGAAAAAAATTCATGTCGTTTTCATTTCCTTTTTTTTTGCAACAAATTCAATTGAAAGAACCTTTTTTTTTCCAAAAGCAAAAACGTATTTCTTTTCTTTTAGCCCTTTTACAGAGAGCCTTCCCAGCATTTGGCTTTTTAAGTCATCCTGTGGCTGGGGGTGGGGGGGTGGGGGGGGGTGTTATTTATGTGAGATCAATTCTCACATAAAAGGTAAAGCAGCTATTTCTGGAGCATTTTATTGGATTCTATGCATTTGCACTGAAAACCGTTACAACGCAAGTTACAGTACAATGTAGGTATTAGTTATTGGGAGCTCCTGAGTCTACTGTGTGTATGTGAGTGAGTGTGTTGTGTGTTTAAGGAATCTATTCAGTGTTTCCTTTCCCTTTGGCGGAGGCAATAACTGGCAATCAATTCCATTTTAGGAATCCAACAATAATAACAAGCACTTGCATTTGATTCAGCGCCTTATCGCGTGGTTGAGACGTCTCGAAGCGCTCCACAGGATAAGACTGTAAGGCGAATTGACTGCATTTTGTGTGTGTGTGTGTGTGTGGGGGGGGGGGGGGGGGGGGGGGGAATGCTAATTCCGATCCTCCTTTGTAATCTGTGTTGTGTTGTGGGTTGAGGGAGGCAGCTGTGATGTGTTGTAATTTGGTCCTCGTTGATCAGCAGAGAGCGGGGTCAGGTTTTAATTTGGTTGAATTGGGAGCACGTAGAAGAGATTGATTGGTTGGTGCTGGGGAATGGAACAAATTCTTGCTCCGGTGTGCTTCTATGTCCGCAAAGCTTCCTCTACATTCTCACGTTAGGCGGAGAATAAAGCTCCCTTTGCACCATCACCCTCAGGTCTGTAGCAGCACGTTTACATATAATAATAGTAGTGTATTCTTAATGCTTGCCTTTGATGTAGTGCCTTATCGCGTGCTTGAGACGTCTTAAAAAAGCTTCACAGAATAATATTGTAATACAATAATATAATAACTTCAAACCCGTCTTCCTGGCCAAAGTTTTAGAACGTGTTGTTGCATCCACAGGCCTGGGTGAGTGAAAAATTTCCTGCGGCTCAATGTGGGCAAGACGCAAGCCATATTCTTTGGCTCCCGTCAACATCTTCTCTCCTGCGGGTCCGAAGTCCTCAACCTCCCCGGGCTCGGGTTGGATCCCCGGCTTTCCTTTCTGCCCCATATCCGTTCCCTGACCAGGACCCGCTTTTTTTTCCACCTCTTGTCACATTGCCCCTGCCTCAGTGTGTCCCTCACACCCAGAGCGACTGAAACACTCGACCGTGTCTCCGTCACCACCTGGCTGGGCTGTTCCAAAAATGCCCTCCTCGCTGGTCTCCCCAGCTCCACCATGCACGAAATTCAATTAATCCCAAACTCCCAATGCCCGGATTCTCACCCGCACGAAAACTCTGTACCCCCATCACCCCAGTCCTTGTCAGGCTCCACTGGCTCCCAGTTCCCGAATGGATCGATTTCAAGATCCTCTCACTCATTTTCAAATCCCTTCATGCCCTCGCACCTCCCTCGCTCTCCGATCTGCTCACTCCACCACCCTCTGCCTCCGCTCGGTAGGCTCCAGCCTCCTGTTCGTCCCTCGTCCCCTCCGGTCCACCATCGGTGGCCGTGCCTTCAGCCGCTACGCCCCGAAACTCTGGAGCTCTCTCCCTCAACCACTCCGCCTCGCCCCCTCCCTCCCCACTTTCAAACCCCGCCTAAGGACCTTCCTTTTTGATGGTGCTTACGGTCACCTCCCTCTCCCCCTGGCTCGGGGTCAGACTCCACTGCTGTCTAGTGCTCTGGGACGCTATCCCATGTGAAGGGCTCTAAATAAATGCAACAAATGTTGTTGTAATAATATGGAATAGCTCTACACTTAAGCGTGCAGGCAGGCCTCCAGCAGTTCAAATGAATCAGTCATTTGAATCTGTCAATAGCCAGAAGCTGTTGCTTTCACCCGTATGGAGAACGCTCCCAAACTCATTCACAAGATTACAAAAGAGTTCAGATGAAGAAAACCCATCAGCCCATTCAGTCTCATCCTTCCAGTACACCCACCCTACCAACCTCCTCTTTTTTTTTGTCAAATGAGTCCATTATTCCTGGTTTCAACAACCCTTCCTTGTATAACTCAATTTCAGTTGGTTGGTTGATTACCCTCAGAGTATAGAAAAACTTCCTGGAGTCTGTCTGTCCCGAAACTGCCCTTTTTTGTAACCCAAAACTTGTTCTGCTGCTTCAGTTCATCGTTCCTTCAGGAAGAGACGTTAAAATGAGGTCGCTGGTTCCCTGTCCATCTACATTGTAGATTCCACGCCATTATTCAAAAAGAGGAGTTTCTCCCAAAGTCCTGGCCAACAATCTTGCAGTTGGTCACTCAATTCATGGCTGTGTACAAATTGACTGTGGGCTTTTCCCATGAATAATAATTACTGCCCTTTGTAGTACATTCTGCAAAGTATTTTGATGGCACGATAAGCCACTAAATCAGATACAAGGATTATTATTATTATTAGTTGAAAGTATTGTTCTGGGTTTACTTTCTCGATGCCTTTATAAGGTTTTCTCTGATATGTTGCCTTTGAAGACTGAAGAGCCCTCATTTGTCTTATTTGCTGCTATTTTCTCTTATATTGCAGTTAATGTTAACCTCTAACATGCCTTATTGCTCTCCAGTGCCTCTCAGGCATTGGGCTAACCCTTTGTGTTATAATAAATAAATAATAACCCTTGCATTTGACACAGCGCCTTATCACGTCTTCGAGACGTCTCAAAGCGCTTTACAGAAAACACTATAAAGTGAATGGACTGTACGTTTTATGGACGGAACGCGGCATATAACTTGCCCAGCCACACAGCAGTGCCCCATAAACAGTTAAGAATGAAGGGACCATATTATTTTTTTTGAAGGGAATATTGTAATGAGTGCCCTGTCCTCCACCCTCCCCGATCCCAACCCCCAGCTCGGGTCCGAAACACTGATTGTCCAGCCCCTTGGGACGTCCTCCCGATGTGAAAGACGCTGTGCACATGCAATTTTATTGTTGCTGTTGAGTCATGTTTGCCTCTTGCCTTTATCTTACGCACAGTGCCTTGCATTTGTCTGTATTGACCGCGAGACGAGACAGACAAAAGGGACTTTTGTCCTGTTAGCCTGGGACTGGATTTGGACCCGAGTCCAAATGTTAGATGAGACAACATGTTAATCAGCTGAGGTGCTTTTTTTTTGATGCCTTGGACATTTGTCCAACTTCGATTGCTCACCTGTGGAATTCCAACACCTGTGGTTATAGCCCCATCTAGTGGTGAGTCAACCCAACTGGCACTCAATGGGATCAAGCTTCAAAATGGCAGTGCCATTTGGAAGCCTTGCCTTTTGGTGACATTTCAGTTCAATAACATTAAGGTCCACTTTATTTTTTCCACGTGGGTTACATTTCTCGTAAATGTTTGTGCGTCGGCCTGGCTCAAATTGCTGCACCCTTCGCTGCTGAGTCAGAAGTTCGTAGGTCCAAGCCCCACGTTGGGATTTGGGACGTCTCCAGTCTTTGCCGGGTTGGGATAGGCTGCGTTAATGGAGGGGCCGTCATTCAGACGAGACGTTAAGCAAGGTCCCGTCTGCCTGTTCAGGTGGAGGTTAAAGATTCTTTGGCACTATTTCTCCTGGTATCCTGGCCAATAATCCACCGGATAAAGATTGGTGATTCACTTTGTGGCTATTTGTGGGATGTTGCTAATGCATAAATAGTCTGTTGCGTTCTGCCACAAAATACACACAGTCACACCACTTTACAGCATCCTGTCCAGCCCTTTGAAATGTCTCAACAACGTGAAAAAGTGCAAAAACAAATGCAAAGATTATTATTACAATGAACTCACCTCAAGCCAAACCAATACTGAATGGCTGTGGTGGGGGGGCATTGTGAACGGGTAGCTAAACCCAGGTAAATAATAATAATCCTTGTATTTGATATAGTGCCTTATCATTCGAGACATCTCAAAGCGCTTCACAGAATATACCCAAAAGTGAATTGACTGTTTTTTGTGGGTGAAACACGGCAGCCAATTGTGCACAGTGGGGTAAACAAACAAAGATGTTACTCCCAACTTGTGTAATGTTGGGCGTGAGGAAGTACAGTATCTATACATCTATACTGTTTCTTCCCCCTTTTTTTCTCTCCCTCCCTGTACAGAGTCCTACTGCTGTGTGCAATTGGCTGTCGCATTTCGCCCACAAATATACAATCAATCCACTTTACAGTGC